TAATAGGAAGAGTGTTTTTTAGTTGGCTAAACTACTGTAAACATTCTGTGAAATGCTTCATTAGCATATAGAATCAGTTAATGTGAGGTGATTGTTCACCTCTTGGTAGCTGAACTTGTAGTGGAGTCTCTGATGCTTTCTGACTAGGAGGCTTCATTTGACACAAGGCCGTTTAGTGTTGTAGTCATTTTGGTGATAACAAATTCTTTCTGTTAAAGGGTAGCGGACCAGTAAAAGTTTCGGGAAAAATCACTGGCTTGGCTGATGGAGAGCATGGCTTCCATGTCCATGAATTTGGTGACAATACAAATGGTAAGATGTAATGGCTTTAAACTGAAAGAGGGCAGATTTAGATTAGATGTAAGGAAGAAATTTTTCACTCAGAGGGTGGTGAGGCACTGGAACAGGTTGCCCAGAGAAGTTGTAGGTGCCCCATCCCTGGAAGTGTTCAAGGCCAGGCTGGATGAGGCTTTGGGCAACCTGGTGTAGTGGAGGGTGTCCCTGCCTATGACAGGGGGGCTGGAACTAGATGATCTTTGAGGTCCCTTCCAACCCAAACCGTTCTATGATTCTGTGTCTATCCAAGCTTTTGAGTTACAGCTGTAATGTGATTGCTCAGCTCTAAACAGCTTCTTATAGTGTTGCAGCAGCAACTAATATAAGTGTACTTAGTAGGCCTCATGACTGTAGACCTGATCTAAGAAGTCATGACATTTCCTAAGGAGTTGCATCCCATTTAATGCTTTGAACATGTTCAGGCTGGTGCTAAAGAGCTGACATATCAGGCCCTGACCTCAATACTTTGATAACTGGGTGTTCTAGAAAGCTTTCAGCTGAGCCCAGGGTGTTCTAGAAAGTGTAATCTTACTTTATTGAACTTGCAAGTTGGTAGTAGGTTACTTATCTCCAGAGGATTAGTAGAACACATAACAAGAGAGTAGCTACTTTGTCATTACTGTCTTTGCTTCCTCTGGCTGTAGGAAGACTACCTTGGTGTAGTGTGTAAGCAACAGATTTAACTGGCTACTGTAAAAAAATCTGCTTTTGATGGCTGCATTCTGTTTCAGGGTGTACCAGTGCGGGTGCTCATTTCAATCCTGAAGGCAAGCAGCATGGTGGACCAAGTGATGCAGAAAGGTGAGTGTAATGTGCCCAGCCTCTTACTGGGTAGCTATGCTGTGCAGTAGTCATCAAAGTGCCACTTTGTGCTTGGGAGGCCACTTCGTGAATAATGCTAGGACCATACCAGAAGAAAACTAGTGATTCCAGCAGGACTTCTAGGGTCACTTAACAAAGACTCCGATAACCATACAGCAATTTGTTAGACACTTTAGCTCCAAGAGCATGGGTAAAATGTAGTCTTTGCGATGTATTCTTGGCTTTATTGTAGCTTGGGGAGAAAAGGAAATAAAGGCTCTTAGTGAGCAAAGATTCCTCAGGATATGAGTTGGGGGAGTTCATGTGTTAATGCCTTATTTGGTCAGTGGTGATTCGCTTCTGTTTTGGGGTTGGCTTTTGACAACAGGGGCCCTAAACTGTCAGTTGTTGAGCTGTATGCAGGCTTTTCCTGTGGCAGATCAGGATCACTAGTGGAAGGTGCTGAGGCTTCAGGGGAGGCTGCAGGATGAATACAAAGCTGTGTGCCTGTGCATGGTGGCTTTTTATTGGGTGTGCTTGGCTATTCTTAGCCTGTTAGCTTCGTTACTGTATTACCGACAACGTGTACTCCTTGGGGGTTGTGTGTGCCCTGTGTCAGTGCAGGGTCTGATGCTTATGCTGAATATCTCTTGTACCTCAGTGGGAGCCAAAACCTAGCTCTCCCCCTGGCAGCAGTTTTCATACTCCAGTTACTCTTAGGGAACTCTTGCATGTTTGAGACCTGATGTCTGAGCAACTGGTTTAAATAGTGTGCTTGACTGGGTTTGGAGACTGGGAAGGGGCTGCACAAGAGCTGAAGGCCAGTGTGGTAGTGGATGGAGCTAGGAGCAAATATAAAAAATAGGCTGGTCTTGCACAGGTGTAGGGTCTGTACTAGTATTGGGACCAACTTGGCATTGTGATTAGCCTTTGAATACTCACATTTGTGCCTGAAACTGCACTTTCTGTGATGGATAAAATCATACCTGAGTGATCAGTTGCATGCTAGAGCAAGCAAGGTGCCTGCTAGCCAGTTGGCTGGATGACAGCACAGCACGAAATGGTGTGCTCATGGGCTTCACAGGCAGTCAACTGCTCCAATGCTAAAGGTCAAAATTGCATGAACATCATGGCTTCTGCTGGTTCTGCTTTGTCAAATCATGCTTCTGGTGTAACCTCCTTACTGAGGCAGCTGTAGGCTGGGGAATCCCTAGGAGCGTGTGAGAACTAGATTGTGCTTTTATCAGTGTAGAGTTGAAACAATTGGACCGAAGCTTCCTGGAAGCTTAAATCAAGCAAATTCTTAAAGGAAAAACGGCCCTTGACTTGATTAAAAATATGAAATTCGTGCTGTGCTGTCTAAGAAGCTGGTAGTCAGCATTCAGCGAGCTGAGCTGGTCACCCTGCATGCATGGAGAGTTTTAGAAAAGAGTTGGTACTCAGGGTTCTGAATTTAGATTGAAGAGTCTTGTGGAACATCATCAACTTGTCTTGTGAGTGAATGGTTTATTTGGGGCAGATGTGTAGGAAACAATATGCAGGGATGTCCGGAAATTCAGTGGAAACTGAACTGCTTGAGGCTTAAGAATTAAGGGAAGTCCTAGCAGAGAACTAGCTCTGATCAAAACTGTGTGGTAGAGTATAATGCCAAGTGTATAGGAAAACACCAAGCAAATTCAAATAGTCATCCCTGGCACTGGTTAGCACTTAGCTGGTATTTAATGCATCCACTTTGACCTGCTACTTGACAAACTGCCTTTACTAATCCTATTAACCTAATGGCTGCAGCTGCTTGTGGAACAGCTGAGTTGGGATGTACATTAAAAGCTCTTAAGAATAGTGCCAGTGTTTACACCAAGCTTTGTATGTGCAGGAAAGGTTACTTCACCTAATTTGAGATGCTTGCTTTCTGAGCAGAGGCAAGTGCCATCAGCATGGAGAAATTCTTAGCTGTAAGAGTTGTACACCAAAGCTGATTAACCTTCTGGTTTCATGTTCTAACTAGGACTGAATTTAATCATCCCTTGAACTGAAGGAGTTAAAATAGTGGAAGTGGTCAAGATTTGACTGGTGGTGGTAAATGAGGACAGTTGGAGATATCCCTGTTCCTTGCAGGGGGGTTGGACTAGATGACCTTTGAAGGTCCCTTCCAGCCCTAACCATTCTATGATTCTATATGTTCTGTTTAAAATAAGATGGTGGAGTACTTCAGTGTAACTATGGGTATTGTATTGTCCAGGCCATCACACAGAAGGGCTTTAAATATAACCGAGTTCTGTATGAGTTTCTCTGCATCGTTGTGTAGGCATGTGGGAGACCTTGGCAATGTGACTGCTAAAGGAGGAGTGGCAGAAGTGGAAATAGAAGATGTCATCATTTCTCTTAGCGGACCACATAGTGTCATTGGACGTACCATGGTGGTAAGTGTCATGGTGCCTATGGGGATGCTTTAAGAAACTCTGGGGCAGTCTTGCCAGTGAGCAGACACTTTTTGATGCTGGAGGCCAGTCCCTGGTGTTTGTTAGAGAACTTATAGTGCAAGATTTCCAGTGCAGGGAGTTCCCTGAAGCCCTGCCTGGAAGTCCTCTGTGTGTTAGCATGGCATTTCATTGCCATGACATCTTAATTTTCTGCCTGTCTTCTGAAGATGTTCCTCTCCATTTAACTTTGCTTTTTCCAGCTGTGAGTAACTAAAGCAACCTGATTTGAGGAAGGAACTGACAGTCTGGCACAAATGCTGTCACTGAAAGGCATGGCAGTGGGTGCTTTGGGGCACTGTTCACTAATACTGGTCTGGTACTGCTGGTGTGACTTGTGCTGTGATGTCCCTGGGATGGAGTGAGGTGGAGGCTGAGTGGACTTGTCCCACCTATCAGCACTGCCAGTCTTCTTTCCCTTGGGACTCCAGTGTGTGCTGAGATCACTGTATGCCTGCACAAAATGGGCTGGGACCGATGGCCAAGGAGCAGGGGGAGGTGTAGTGTCACACTTCAGATAGGGTGGCCAAGGTGCTGCACCTGCAGTGCAGTGGTCAGCCTTGTGTTCTAAGGGTGACATTGAATGTCAAGTCCAAGCTGGCTCTCGGACTAGTAATGACTTTTTGAAACATGGGGCTTTGACTTCCAGTTCAGACAAATTCAGCTGAAGGCAACTCATCTTTTTAGACAAATCTAGTCTTCAGTTTTTTAGCAGGAGTATCAGTTTGGCACTCAGCATTACATAATGACAACAGGTTCTCTCCAGTGTGTAACACAACCCTGCTGGTAGCTGGCAATGCTGCTTGTCACTGCTGCTGCTAATGAGTAGTGAAAAATGTTGATTAGTTATGCAATAGCATGAATTAAGGTATCTTCAATTCTCTTTTAGGTCCATGAAAAACGTGATGACCTGGGTAGAGGGGGAGATAATGAGAGCAAGTTAACTGGAAATGCTGGACCTCGTTTAGCTTGTGGTGTAATCGGAATAGCGAAAAGCTAAGTATTGTACCTGAAATGCTTCAGAGGAGTGATAAATGGGCTGTGTTTCATTGCAAATGCTGTACTTGCCATTCCTTGTGCAAGCAAAAGATTTATCACTTAATCTCATTACTACTCTGCATTCTGAGTATCACTTAAACTGGTGAAGACTGACTTTAATTTTGTATCATGTATATTGCAATTAAAGTGACCCTGATGGAATGTCTCTGTAGTCTTCTGCTAAAGCATCTGCTGTAACCATTAAGTGTAATCTTCACTAACTGGAACTCCCATTCTGTGTAATGGAAGATGTTTAGTAGTGATCACATCCTGAACACTAAAACTTCTACTATACTGTGTGATTTGGAGGATTAGCCCTACAAGTTCTAGCAAGACTACTCACCAAAGAGCAGTGGGCACTGTTATGTATTGAGGCTTCCTCCTGGCAAAGTTGCAGCATTTGTAGGTTTCAAACTTGTATAATAAACTTGCTGGGCAAATACACCTTGGTCTTGCTGTCTATAAAAAAAAAAAGCCACAACAAACCCCTACCTGCTGATACGCCAACATGAAAAGTAGGCCTGGGTTTCATAATGTCAATAGTTAGTTTAGTGCTAGACACCAACAGCATCCAAGTTGCTTCCAGCCAGTAACCCTGGAACAACCAAGACCCCAGATCAATTGGTGTGCAAGTAACAAACATTGTCATATGCTTTCCTGTGACAGAATCCCATGTTACAATGTGGTAATAATCTGGCACCCTCCAGCCAGGGGTTTTGTGCACCTAAGGACAATTGCTGCTTTGCAGAAATACCCTCTTGCTGTAAAACATAGTGGTGTGTAACACTTCTGGCACTGGGCTGTGGTGTGGTGGGGAGGCCTTAAGCATGTAGAATGATCTGGTTCCAATATGGGTCCTCAGGCCTTGTCCGGACCTCTGGGTTGGAGTGTTCTGGGCTGGTGTGCAGTGAAAGGATGTGTTAGTGAGGACAACTCCTTTTTTTCAAGCTACATAGGACTGTCTAGTGTTATATAGGTCTTTCCTTAAAAAGGATGTAGCCAGCCAAGAGTTCTATATTTAATTTCATAAAGCTTTTCAGCTGTGTAATCACTGTATACTAGTACCAGCTTTCATTATTTTCTTTTACGTACATCTTAAACACAGATTTCCAAGTCTTGTAATAGAGAAAGTTATTAATTTTAATGAAGACTTGTATCAACATTCCTTTATCTTGTACATAAGAGATATTCATGGAAGTAGTTGGCTGTAGTTCTAGACACCCAGGTTGCAGTGTAGCATGTTACAAATGGAAGGGCTTCTCGTACTATGGCAAGAATACTGTAAATAAACACTTCAAGCTTACATTCATTACAGGTGGCAAATAACTGTATGTACAGTCTCTACCCACCTGTACCCGTTCCAGTGGGTTAGTCTATGCTCTGGCTTAGCTGCTGCAGCAGAATTAAGAGAGCGGCTGCACCTTTCAGCTCCCTCCTGAAGCATCAGGGCATGCGGAACTCTGGGCACCCACAGATAGCCACCATCACCTCTTTGCGTTTCAGAAGTTTGGAGGACGGTTGTGTTGTCTCTCCTTTCCCTAAGGGGGAAAAACAGCAAGTACTTGTCAACCGCAGGTGCAGCTGTAGTGGAACAAGAGCTCTGACAGCTCTACCGCGTCCCTCCTCTCCCAGCCCTTCTTGGTGCTGAACCTTGCCGCTCTGAAAGCCCAGTATGCACGGATGTTCCGTTTCCAACCTGTTTGCTCTTGGTGGGTTCCGTGTCTGACGGCACGCTAGCCTGGGAGTCAATGCCGTACTGAAGGACGCAGAAGTAACGCTCGGTTTGTGTACGCATCATTGTAACTGGCAGGCAGAGGCTCAACGACCAAGGTGGTAATTGCTAACGCTGTCGTGTCTGTATCAGTAAGGGCTGCTTGCGCTGAGCTAATTAATCATTATACAAACTTCTGGCTTATTTTACAACCAGAAAGTTGGTACTTGTAGAAGGGCAGGATATAGTTACGCTGGTGATGCTGTAAAGATGATGCCCCCCTAGCAGGTTTATTACGTGGTTACTGCTTCTGAAGGCAGTTAAGAAACTGTTCTGCAAAGGACATCCAAGATTTTCCTAGGCTTTGTTTTCAGTTTCCTAGAAAGGGAGACGATGTGAAGTGGCATTTGTGTGAACAGATAAGCCTTCTGTCTCTTTCATGCTTGTCTTCAAATCCTTTAATAAAGTGTATTCATTTAAAAAAATCCTACCTCCTTACAGAATTATGGCAGTTTTTACTAAGACAAGTCTTAAACATAAGACATAAATGTCTGGCTTTGTATGAAAAAAGTTAGTTCCAGTGGCCCAGCATGAAACAAACATTAAGGACACAAGTTTTAATACATGGAAGCTGAGTTCACTACAAGTATGTAAACAGGTTGTTTTTTTTTTTCTCTCTTTATTCTGCTATTGCAAGAACATAAAAATATATGTCCTCTCCCCAGTCCATAACTCCACATTTGCTTTCCCACTCCCTCCCTCCCCCAGAAAAAATTCCCTCTGCCGCAGAGCAGCTATGAAAAAGTACTGATGTAAGAAAGCAGCTGCCCTTCACTTGGAGGGCGGGGGAACCCAACTTTGAAAGTAGAACAGCCTCTATCAAGGAGGAAAAAAAATAATTAAATATGCACAGGATCCATACAATTTTCCCGCTATGCTTCCAGTTTCACAAGCTTCGACTGAAAGCCCGGTGCGCCCTGAGCCCGGCGGGACCGACGAGGGAGCGCGCACCGGGGCGGAACTGCCAGGGCTCCCGCGCGGCTGCTGCAGCGCAGCCGCCTTCCGCAGCTGTGCGCGCCTGAAGGGCCGAGCGCCAAGAACCAGTGTCTGCCCTCAGAAAACTTGTCAAAGTTACTTCAGTGGTACGGAGGGAAGATGGTAAAACTTACACAAATACAAGAAAAGGCGCTCTCTGTCCATCAGTCCAATAGGTACCACACTAGGTGGGTAAAAATTTCCAACCTACCTCTTGCAGGATTACAGGAGGTAGACATCGTTAACACAAGACAACGGCAGCAGCCCGGATTTGTGTGAGGGAAGAGGCAGCGTTTTAAAATCCTTGCGCGCACCCTCCCGCCTCCCTTCCTTTTCCCACCCCCCGTTTAAAAAAAAAAATAGGTTAGCATTTTATATTGTGTTTTGGTGTCTCTGATTTCTCTTTCACCCCACTTGCCAAAAAGAGTCAATGAATAACAAGTACAAAAGATGCTGAACTGGTGTGCTTCCTAGCCCACCGCACACAGGAATTTTATAACATTACAAGCAGAGCAGACTAAGTATGTCTGAAGGCGTCCACTTTTTAAAAAAAGGCTAATTAGGGCAACATTTACCACAGAAATCAGTTGAGGGGGAGGAACGAGAAAAAAAGAAAAAAAAGAAAAAAATTGATTGCATTGCAAACACTAAACAGTTAACTCTTCAATTAACATTTTAAAACCACTAACTTTTACCTAGTATGGTCAAGTAATCATTAAAATGCAGCAATCTAAAAATCAAGATGACTATTACAAATAAAAATTTGCTTCTGTGAATAGCTACACAAACAGATGTATTTCTTTTAACAAATATAAACAAAACAGTCTAATTTAGACTCCAGTACAGCATTAACAGTTCAAACTTTAAGATGTTGAACACTCCTTTTCCACTTCAGTGCAGTGTAGGAAGAATAGCACACGTTAAAGTTTGTTACGAAAATAGAGTTTATTAAAAACGCATCCCTATTGTTTTGAGGAGCTTTCACCGTTACCTTTTCTTAAATTAAAAAAAAAATAGAAAGCACTTCTACTTCTGATTTGTAAACTTTTTAAAGTCAAAACTTTAAAAAAGTTACAGCAAAAATGGGTAATATTTTAATCATATCTTCAGTACGTCATGTTACGTTGTGGCTATTTTAAATAGAAGGGAAGCAATCAAATTGCTTACAATTCCCCGCCAACTACCGAGGGGCTGTGAGAGAAGCAGAAGCAAATATGATACAGCAGACTGTACAACTCTAAAGCTCTACACTCCAACAAATGTCACTGTCGCCCTTCGACCACCTCCAGTCCCTAGCGAGGAGCCTCCGCCACTGAGCCCAGATCCTTTTCCGCTTGTTCCACAGATGAGGTAGCCTCGGATGTTAACTCTTCAACAGGTTTTACACCTGCAGGTTCAGACTCTCCCGCAGCGAGTTCTGAAACAATGTCTGCGTCTTCCGTTTTGCCGCTATGAGATTCGTGGTTTTTGTCGCCATCTGCCCTGTCTGTCACCTCCGACTTTTCCTTGCCTCGGTTTTCTTCCTTGTCTCTACGAGACTCCCTGTCTCTCGAATCTCTCTCTCTGTCTCGATGTCCACTGGACCGCCTGTTTCTGTCCTCCAAGTCCCTGTGTCTGTCGCGCTCAGGGCTTCTTCTTCCCCACTCTCGCCTGTCACGATTACCGAGTCGCTCGTGATCTCTGTCATCGTTGCGGTTACCATAGCGCTCGCGGTCGTTTTCTACCCGATTTCCAAAAGATCTCCTTCCAAACCTTTCCTGGTCTCTGTTAGGCGTGAACGTCTGCCTGTCATTCCTAAACTGCCTCCCATCTCTGTTATCCTCGGGTCCGCCTGGCCCCCCGCTTCCCGGCATCCCCCCCGGTCTCACGAAGTGACCCGGCGGTGGGAAGGGGGTTTTCATGCCGTGGGGTGGAGGCATCCCAAAGCCCCCCGGCCCCGGTGGGGGCCCTCTGTGCATCATGTGGGGAGGCATGTGTCGCGGTGGCATCAAGGGAAAGCGCTGCATAGGAGGGGGTGGCATTCCCGGCGGTCGCTGGAGTGGTATCAAACCGGGCCGGGCACCCAAGAGGCCGGTGGATGGAGTCTGCAACCCAACAACGGGGGCTGGCGGGGGCGGCGCCACTCCTTGCGTGCCTGAAACAGACAAACACACACACGGAATAAAATCAGAAGCTGGCAGAAGGGGAAAAAAAAAAAAAAAAAAAGCATTTTTTTAATTTCAAAAACGTTCTGAAATGATCTCATGAAACGAGTCTAACACCAAAATTGCAGGGCAGGGGGTGCAGAGAGCAGCCTGAAAAGCTTCTTGTGCTGCTTCACGCACGGAAAAGAGAGCATCGTCATTAAACAGAAGTTTGTGTTGTGCTGGGAGTAATTAATACTCAGACAGTAGTGACCAATCACTTATCCCAAAGG